CCCCAAAACCCCAAAACCCCAAAACCCCAAAACCCCAAAACCCCGCTCCTGATCTTAACAATTGAAGGTTTCAAATTAAACTTAATAAAAATATTACAAAATCCGTCTACCATCATAATAATCTACCCTTTCATCATTTCGAAATTTCTTCTTTTACTATTCAATCTCAATTTCTGAATCAGTGATCTCATTAAGCTGCTCTTCAGTGATCAAGTCCATTCCTAGTTTGGACACCTTCCTTTTTGGAACTCCGTATACTGAGTAAATATCATACCCTTTGTCATTATATTTCCTATCTGCATACTTCATGAAAGCTATATTACATTTTCAGGAGTTAAGCCATAATCAAAGGGATTATCTCAGTGCTTGAACTCGCATTGTAGTTGGAGTATTCTATTTCGTGCTCGGACAAGACTCTTTACAGCTTTCTTAAATTTCTGGAATAAAGCAGCTGAGTTCTCATTCAAGACTTTGACAGCAGGAAGAATTGATGCCTTTACTCCTCACTCAAAATGCATTCTGTCATACTCATTATATCTCGGAGTTTTTAGTAAACTTTCAGCTTGGCTTGCTTTGCACTCAAAAAGTTTTCCGTATTCCTCAAGTGTTCAACAAGGGCCTTGTTCTAGAATGCTGAACATGATTCTCATTCGATCGGGAACAATATTTTCCATGATAATCCTGACTGCTGATTTAAGCAGCTTTTGTCTTGCATCGCCTGCAGTTCCAACCTGTTTGCCTAACTCTCTATATGATTACCAAAGGTTACTTACTTGATCTTCTCCCTGAGGTCTTGTTGGTCATTGCCAACATGAAGGCTATCGATTAATTTCTGAAGGCCTTCCTTCTGAATGTCTCTTAAATCAGAGAGGTCCTTGTCCTCTCCTATCATAATCATATTAATCTTGAACTTTTAGTATTTCATGAGCTGGTCATTGAGAAAGCTAAGGGTTAGGCCAGAATTAGTACTCAACGCGAGACTCTAGGTTCTCTACCTTTTGCTCTAGTTCTTTGATATATTCCTTGGTCTTCCTCCTATGGTTCCTTCAGTACATCTTATTGTACTCTATGAAGATTTATGGGAACATTACCTTTCTTCTTGGTCCTAGGGCTGAGCTCTTTTGATTCTCTATAATTTTATTAGGATTCTTTGGAAAGAATTCATAATACTTTCAAGGGTACCCAGTAATTGCTAAAAATCAGGTTTTATGACCTTACAATTTTCAGGTAATGGTTACAATTTCAGAGATTTCACAAGGGCAGAGATTGTTTTAATCATTATAATTTTCCCATTTTCAAAAATGTTTTGAAAGAACTTCACCGTAATATAAATACTACATAATGTTTAGATAGGGTTGTAACTAAACAAGCGTGTTTACATACATTTTGGCTTTCTCTTCTACTAATCTCTCGAAACAACTCTCGCTGTTTTGGCCAGTACTCTTCTCGTTCTTCAGAGAAGGGTTGAAATCATTAAGTGATAGTCCAATGTCCGGGTTCATTTTCTAATTAATCTATTATTTCAATATCTATTTTATTAATTGGGGTTTTGGGGTTTTGGGGTTTTGGGGTTTTGGGG